AGAAAGAATGGCTGCTATCAAGAAATCAACCAATAACAAATGCTGGCGGGGTTGTGGGGAGAAAGGAACCCTGCTCCACTGCTGGTGGGAGTGCAGACTGGTGCAACCACTGTGGAAATCAATAGGAGATACCTCAAAAAACTAGGATTAGAGATCCTATTTGACCCATTTACTGGGTATCTTCCTATAAGAACTAAAAGAATCATACCACAGCAATATGTGTGGACCCATGTTTATAGCGGCACAGTTCATAATAGCTAAAGCTTGGAAACAGCCGAAGAGCCCATCAACTGGAGATTGGATAAAGAAAATGTGTTTTTTATAAAATGGAGTACTACTCAGCCATACAGAGTGATAAATTAGAGAGACATTTATAGCTAAATGGATGCACATTGAGGCCATACTCTTAAGAGAAATAAATAGTACACAATGTGTAAATACTGAATAGTTTCTCTGGTATAAGAAACAAAGTGTAAATAAGGATTAAAATGAATAATTGATAATTAGAAATAGGAAGAAAAGGTCCAAAGGGTTAGGGGAAGTGGGAAGGATAGGGGAATGGAAAGAATGGAAAAGAATAAATAAGGGAAAATGGAAAAATAGAAACAAAGTTGTAAATAGGGAGCGGTGGAGGAGTTGAAGGGCGGGGAGGGGGATGGGGAAAAAATAAGAACCAAGATACGTCATGTAAAGGTACAAATCCCAATGATGAATGTAAATATTGTATACCTACAATGTACCAATAAAAGGATTTAAGAGAAAATAAATAAATAATGGTTAGTTTGGGATCATCTCAAAAAAAGAAAGAAAGAAAACTCTGTATAGTACCCTAGAACTAGGGAGAGTACTCAAGGAAAGACAGATTTGCGAGGGGCTTCCTTCCAAAGACGGGTTCAGACCTCACTGGAAAATGAGATGCAGATGCCCAAAGTTTTGATTCAGGGAAATGCATCAGAGGTTTCACTCTGGGAAGTAGACTTCATTAAATTGTTTAAACAAGTCACCAAATGAACAATAAAAACGACCCTACAAGATGATTGTCTATCAAGTTGCTACAGTACATTACCTAAAATATTCTCTTTTCAAACAAAAAATCATGAGTCACATAAAGAAACAAAGTATGGGGCTGGGAATTTAGCTCAGTGGTGCCACACTTGCCTGAATTTATAGTCACAAAGTGCTTAGAATAGTGTCTGGCACGGTTAGTATTCAATAAGATTAGCATTTTGACTACAATTGTTGCGAGCTAAAATGGGAATTATTTTGGCTTATGTAAAGTCTAAAGAGCGTAAAGCTTCAAACACGGTCAGCTCCAGCTACTCAATGGAATATCTTGGTTCCACTTTCATCTGTGCAGGCTTTGTTGTTAGACAAGGTCCCCTACAGGATCCAAGACGGCCATCAGCAGATGTCCTATACTGGACATAGCAAGCCCAGTGAGAGACCACCTTCCCTAATAATCCTAATAAAAGTCCCCGGATTTTGTCTCACTGGCTGGACTTGGGTCACGTATTCATAGCTGATTCAGTCAACACAGCTGACTAGATATGGGTTCTGTACCTAGCCCTGAACTGTAGGATCCATTTTCCCTGGAGGAAACATGAGGTTCTTTCTAGAGAAAGAGGCACTGAGTTCTGAGCAAGCAAAAAGTTTGGTTTTCTTGAAAGTTTGTTGATTATATGTTTGTTTTAATATTTAGTAGGCCTTCCTTCTTTCCTAGTAGAAACTGTGCTAGTTTCATGACTTTTAATCTATGACTAGAGAATTTTTGCTGGCTGACAGACTATTGCTGGCTAGTAATATGACTGAAAACTTTTTAAATGACTGATTTTCCCCCGCTTTGGTACCAGGATCGAACTCAGGACCTTGCATTTGCGAGACAGGTGCAGCACCAATGAGCTAAATCCCCGGCCCTTAAACGACTGATTCTATTTAAAGATGTTTATTCTTTTAAAAATATTCAATACTGTCTTTTACGAAAGTTGTGTTTCATGTATCCTAATTCGTGTTTTTTTGTTAAAAGTCAGAGCAACCCCTGTCCTGCCCAGATGTGGTCCACCATGCCTATTTAAAGGACACTTGAGCACCAAAAGTAATGGTAAGTACTTGAAATGATAACTTTGCTAAAAGATTGTTTCCTGTATGTGCAAATCATGTGACACAATGAAACAATTACTTCACTGAATAGATACTGGGACATCATTCTATTAATTATAATTGAATACTATAGGAATGTGTTAGAGATTTCAAACTGTTAACATGCCCTGACTCTGGACTCAGCTGCCCCCTGCTTGCCACCGCTGCAGCCCAGCTCTGCTTTTGCCAGCAGGCTGCGGTGGTCTGAGGCAGGCTGTCTTGTTAGAAGGTTGCTTACCAGGTGTTAGAGACACCAGCACTAAAAATGAAGGCCTATGCAGGGAAAACGAGCACTTGAATAACGCATTTTATATCCCTAGCAAATGTTTGTAGACCTCTTTTTCCAACTGGATTGCTAGGCCCTATGATGTTTTTATATTTTAATACTTTCAAATAAATTCTTATTCAATGTTCACTTTAAAATAAAAATGTATAATTATAGCTTGAAAATTGTAAGATTGATTTTTTAGACAAAATAATTGAAACCTTTCTTCTTTACACAAAACATTTTTTATACTGTTACTTTCAAATGTGAAGGATCACTGTTTTTATTTTGTTATCTTACTTACTTCTTTGGTTTTTAGTTATTTATTTTTTTGGTACTGAGGATCGAACTCCGGTCTTTGCACTTGCGAGGCAGGCGGCGGAACCACTGAGCTAAATCCCCAGCTGTCTTCTTTGTATTAGAATATGTAGAGAGATCATACACCAACATCATAAACTTTGAAAAATAAGTTTTAAATAGAAATTCAAAAGTAAATTTAAAATATAGATATATAGGAAAGCATGATGAAAAACAATACATAAAGTTTGCTAACTTTTTCTGTTTTAAGAAGGTAAATGCAGAGCTGGTGTAGCTATTGTGGTTATAAATATGAGGCTGCCATGGTTTACTTCCAAACACTACCAGGAATGTGGCTCAAGACCTAATTCATAGTTCTGTGCCTCAGTTTCCGCTTTTATTAAATGGTGGTAATAATGACTAGAAAAGTTTTTACTTGTAAAGAGTTGGAACAATGCCTGGCAAATGGTACCTATTGAAGAAATGTTTTTAGTAGCGATAAGGCCTATAATTGTGTGCTTGATTATGCATAGATTGATATCTAAAAAGTAGCAGAGTATGTATCTGGGAGAAGAAATTAAGATTCGCGGTAGAAAAGTCACTTGTTTTTCAATTTCTGCATGCTATTTTAGCTGTTAAGGTTTTTTTCATTTTTTAAACCTATGTATGTATTACCTCGCAAAAGCTAGGGGTGTTTTTCTATTTTGATTTTTTTTAATTATTTTATTTTATTTTATTAGTACATGTTTGCAATTCATTGCAGCTTACAGTCATCTTGGGGAGTGGTTACATGTACATCTTACAGCTTTCTTCTTTTTTTAATCCCCTTTCCCTTCCCTACTCCTCCCCCCTCCTCCTCTGGTTCCCCTAACCCCTTTTGAATACTTGTTGATATTATTTGTCATAGCTCATGTTATGGCATAGAGTGTTTACATTAACTGGGGTTATTAGGTTCCTGAACATGGGATATCTTTATTCCTCTCTCAAAAGCTATTTTTAATGTTTAAAAAAGTTATGACTATATTTGCACTTTGAATATATACTTGAATATAAATGTTTAATGATTTAAGTATTTCCTTTAAATAGTTTAGATGAAGATCAAGAATTTAATGCCATGGAGTTTTTACATGATTGTACTTGTCTTAAGCTATCTTAAGTACTAGTATTAGTATTTCCAAAAGACTTCAGTAAACAGATGTATAGATCTTGTTTTCAGATAAAAAGTTAGAAGTTTACCTCTCAGAGTAGAATCCTTGCATAAGATTTTATGGTTTGGGACGTTTGATTTCCCAAACTTCACGGATTGTTAACTACATAGTAGCATGGTAACATTCTGTAATCAAAAAAGTAGCTAAAGATTTTTAGATACAAGATTAAAAGATATAAAAAATAATTTTTAAAATATAGTAATAGATTATATTGTTGAATCTCTTTCTCAAATCTTCAGAACTGCAAAACGAATAGCTTATTAGTGTTTCCGGCATAAGATCAAGGCTAGGACATATTCGGCATCACAAAGATTGAATTTCAGAACATTGTTTAAGAACGAGTTTAATAATGAGTAACCTGTTTATCTCGTGGTGATGATGTTAATTTTAAATATATAATGTTTAAATATGTTTTGATTTTTAGCTTTTTGCACTGACTCCTCTTCTCTCAGACTAACCACTCTCCAGCTGATCAAGAACCACATGGCTGTTCACTATAATAAAATCCTTTCAGCCAAAGGTAAAAATGTACAAATGTAAACTTTCTGTCCCCAATTCAGACCCCTAACGTCACCTCTCATTAGGATAAATCTGTGGGAAAAATTAGAGCATTGTTTGTAGAGGAATTTGTGGTTGATATAGTGAAATACCAATTGTTGTCTGTATTTGTGGCAAAATCAAAATGTCATCTTTGTTGTCAATATTTGAACTCGTCATAATGCCTAGGTTATTTCATTTTATCTGTTATGTCTGATATTATTTTGTTGTTAGATTTTGCTTTTAATGTAAGTTCGCAATCTACATTTTGTCTTCAAATCAACCAAGGAAGTTGTACAAAGAAGATGCTATTATTCTTTTTTCTTTTTTTCTTTCATTGCTAACTTTATTTAGAGACAATTTAAAAACAATAAAATATACTAATTATAAAGTTAAATATTTTGAGAATAGTTAAATATTTTGAAAAATGTATATATAATTGCTACCACAGTCATGTTATAAAACAGGGACTGTTTATCTACAGCTTATAGAACAGATCCTCCTGCTACTTATTTTTATACAGCTCATGAACTAACAATGGTGTTTATATTTTTAAATGGTTACCAAAAAAAATAGAGAACAATATTTTGTGACATCTGATAACATGAAATTCTAATTTTAGTTGTAAACACAATCATGTTCATTCTTTTAAATACTGTCTACGACAGCTTTTGCACTAAATGGCAGAGTTGACTAGTTGTGACAGACTCCATCACCCTGTAAAACCGGAAGTATTTCCTCTCTGGCTCTTTACAGAAAAAGTTTGCTGATCCATAAAATGGAGTATTTCCATCACCCCAAAAAGCTCCTCTTAATCCTTTACAGGCATGGCCCCTCACCTCAAGTCCCTGTAGCCAGTGATATGCTCTTTTACTACAGTTGTGCCTTTTCTGGAATTTCATGTAAATCATATAATTTGTATCCTTTGGGGCCTGGTTTATTTCAATTAGCAAAACACATTTGAGACGAATCCATCTTGTAGTTTTTATTGTTAGTGTTTCTTCCTTTTTATTGCTAACTGTAGTGTTCCATTTAATAAATCTACCACAGTTGATATTTTGATTCACCAGTTCACTTTTGGCTATTAGGAATAAAGCTGCTAGAAACAGTCTCATATAATCTTTGGATATGTATTTCTGTTTCATTTGGGTAAATATATTTGCTAGGAGTAAGCTGTGAGGTAATATAAGTATGTCTACCTCGTTAAGAAATTACCAAATTATCTTCCAGAGTGACTGTACAGTTTAGCATTTCCATTACTTCTACATCCTCACCAACATTTGGTATCATTCTTTTTTAGCCATTCTAATGGGTATGTAGTAGTATCTCTTCATCATTTTAATTTGCAAAATTTCCCTGATGCCTAGTGATATTGAGCAACTTTTCTTATACTCATTTGCCATCTATATATCTTCTTTGGTAAAATGCCTGTTCAGACCTTTTCCTATTTTTTAAAAATGAGATTTTTTTTTTTTTTGTCCTTTTAGTATTAAGCTGTGAGTTCTTTGTATATTAAATGCAGGTCTTACATCAGGTATATGTTTTGCGAACATTTTTTCCCAGATGATAGTGGGTCTTTTTGTTTCTTTCCTATCACCCCAGTTCTGGTGATCAAACCCAGGGTTTCATGAATGCTAGGCAAGCACTGAGCTCCACACTGAGCCTTCATTTTATTTTTATTACTGTTATTTTTATAATTACAATTTATAATTGTTATTCTGGAATCATTTTTAGAGTTACAGGAATGTTCAAAAATAGTAGTTACCATATATTTACTTTCCTCTAATGTTAAAATCTTAAAAACCATAGTATAATTATCAAAGCAGAAAATTAATATTGATAAAATATTGTTAACTGCAGACCTTATCTGAATTTCAGCAGTTTCTACTAATTTTTAACTTTTCCAAGTGCTGAAGTTTTTAAATTTTAGTTCAAATCTTATGATGTTTGTATTTTAAAATGGTTGGAAAAATCAACAGATTAGTATTTTGTGGCATTAAAATTGTATGAAGTTAAGTTCAGTTTTCAGGTTTTTTATAGTTTGTGTTTTTAATATCCTATTTAAGAAATCTTTACCTACTCGGATGTGGCACATTCCTGTAATCTCAGCTACTCAGGAGGCTAAGGCAGGAGAATCACAAGTTCCATCCCAGCTTGGGCAACTTAGTAAGACCCTGTGTTAAAATGAAAAATAAAAGGACCTGTAATATAGCTTAGTGGTAGAGCCCTTGCATAGAATGTGTGAGCCCCTAGGTTCAATCTCCAGTACCACCAAAAAGGGTCTGGAGAAGGGAAATATTTGCCTAATCTTAGGTCACTACACTTTTCTAAATCAGTTTTCTTCTAGTTGTATACGTTTAACTCTTAACATTTAAATGTGTGATCCATTTTGAGCTAGTTTTTGTATATGCTATGACACAAAGGTTATTTTTTTGCCTATTCATATTCAAATTTTCCAGTACCATTTATTAAAGAGATTATCATTCACCTATGGAATTACTTTGGTGCTTTTTTGAGTCATTTGACCATATGTGTGGGTTTATATCTGGATTTAATCTTTGAATCTGTTCATCTATTTATATGTCCATCTTTATACCCATACCATATTCCTCTGTTACCATAAGATCACAGTAAGCCTTAAAATCATGTAGTGTAAGTTCTCCATTCTTGCTTAAGACTCCAGCTACAAGTATGTTAAGGTGCATAATGTAGGTATGTTACTAGGTCAGTGATGCTCTGTTCATTTCCTTTTCAGTCTTTTTTTCCCCTCTGTTTCATTTTGAATAATATTGGAATGCTGGTTCACTAATATTTTCTTTTGTACTGTAATGAGCTAATCCCAGTGTGTTTTTTTATCAAAGATATTTTGTTTTTTATTTTCAGAAGTACAATAAAAATCAAACAAGAAACTGCATATTCTGGAACTATTTGTGATTTCCACTTTGATATTTGTTGCCATTTGTAAATACCAAAAATATTATTAAACAACAAAATTTTATCTTTCAGCTGCTGTTGACTGCTCAATTCCAGTAAGCTTGTGTGCCAGCATCAAATGTAAGTTACTTTTTGACATCTATTTTTTTTTAAAAAGATTATGGTAAAATACACAGCTCATAAAATTTAGCATCCTAGCCATTCTTAAGTGTTTATTCCAGTGGCATTAAGTACATTTTTATTTTGGTAGAACCACCACCATCATTTGTCTCCAGAGTATCTTCATCTTGTACCAGATAAATAATAACTCCTCCAACCAGGCCCCGGAACCCACCATTCTGTTTTCTCTCTCTATGAATTTGACTTCTCTCCACAGTCTGCTTTCTGTCTCCATTAATTTCATTATTCTGAGTTTCTCAAATAAGTAGAATCATTCAGCATTTGTTCCTTTGTCCCTGGCTTATTTCACTTAGCATAATGTTCTCAAGATTTATTCATGTCGTAATATATCTGAATCTCCTTTCATTAAAGCTGAATAAGATGTCACTGCATACATATGCCACATTTTGTTTATGCATTCATCAGTTGATGAATACTTGAGTTGCTTCCACCTTTTGGCTGTTTTGAATATCACCGCTATGGATATAGGCATACAGATATCTCTGAGACCCTGTATTATGGTTGGGATCCAAAGTATCACCCCAAAAATGCTTGCTGTGTTGAAGGCTTGGTTGCTGATGACTTTGGGGAAATGTTTGGATAATGAGGGCTCTAGCTTTATTCACAGATTGACAAAATTTGATGGCAGTGTTCGGAGGTGATGGAAACAGGTGGTGGGGCCTAGGCAAAAGGAGTGAATCAGAGGATTGTGAGCTTGAGGACTGTGTCTGGTCCCTGGCCCATTTCTCTAGGGTTCTTTGCCTGTCCCTTGCTTCCTGGCTACTGTGAGGTGAACACCTTTCTTCCACCAAGCCCTTCCACCATGATGTTTCTGCCTCAACACAGGCCTAAAAGCAGTGGAGCCAACTGACCAGCGACTGAAATCTCTGAATCCATGAACAAGAATAAGTCCTGTGTAAAGGTCACTCATGTGAGCTATTTTGTCACAGTAATGGAAAGCTTACTTAGCACACTTTGCTTTCAACTATTTTGAGTATGTGTCTATAAGTTGAATTATTGGATCACATGCTGATTCTATTTTTAGTTTTTGAGGAACTGTTTTCTGTACCAGTTGTAATATTGTACATTCCACCAATCACACACAACTATTCTAATTTCCCCACATCCTCCCCAACCCTTGTATTTTTTTTTTCTGTTTTGATAGTAACCATTTTAGAGGGTATTGACATATTGTCTTTTGAGAAAGCCTTTCTAATGTTTAAAAATTATAAATAACAGAAGCTTGTTTTGTATTTCTAAGTTTGGGAACTTAGAACTGAATCCATAATTTGCCACTACATTGCTTTGCATTGTGACTTTGGATAAACTATTTAGTGTCTTTGGATTTTGTTTTTCCTATATGTAAAAATTTAGATAGTACTAAAGCTAGGCATGATTGCACTTGACTGTGATCCCAGCTCTCAGAACCTGAGGGAGGAAGATTACAAGTTTGGGCTGGCCTGGGCTACACAGAAACAAAATTTGGAAACAAAATATCCTCTTCAAAGGTTAAGTTGCACAAAAGATTATTGTATATAGCTCCTTCCATGGAGTGTTCAATTTTTGGACTCAGACCAGCATTCACGTATTAGCTGTCCAGCTATTTAACTATGAATAGTGGATAAAGGAAAATGCGTTGCTTGTTGTCTTTATGTGTTCCTTAATATGATGAGATACGTCTTCTCTATTAAAAGTAAAACAACAAAATTTAAACCTAAAATCCAAATTCACCAATTAAGAAATCAGTCATTTTACATAGTATCTTTTGTAGTTCACTAGAGTTTATTCATTGACTAATTCAGAAAATATTTATTGGGTCCCTGCTGTGTGCAATACACTATTCTAAAGACTGGAGCTAAACAGGTGAACAAAACAAATTTCTTGCTTTTAGAGTTTACATTGTAGTTAGAGGAGACAAACAATAACCAAATACAAATCAGTAGAATATGTCGGATAGTGATAAATGCAAAGGGAAAAATGTAGCAGGATAAAGGTAATTGGGAGTCCCATGAAGTTTTCCCGGAAAAGGCCTTACTGACAAAGTGACAGTTGAGCTGAGACCTCAAAGAATTGAGAGGCACATGGCTATCTAGGGAGAGAGCAACCTCAAGTATAAAAGCCTTGAAATGGCATCGTGATTAGTGAATTCAAAAAACAGTAAGAGGAGCTATATAGCTGGTGACTGAGAGGGGACAGAAAGAATGCAGATCATATAGGACTGTGGCCATCACAAGGACTTTGGCCTTCGTGCTGAATGAAGTTGGAGGCCATTTGAGGGTCTCGAATATAGGAGTTGAAGAGTCAGATTTTTAAACTTTTAAAAATATCTCTAGTTACTGAGTTGAGAATAGTCTGTAAAGGGCCATTGTAGAAACAGAATGACTGGTAAGAAGACAGTAATCCACATGAGAAATAGTGGTGAGAAGAGTAAATGCAGGGGAGATGGAGTAGAATGGTTAGATTCTGGAAACACTTCCCATGTGTCAATAGTACTTACTAATGGATTTAATGAAGATAAGGTGAGAGAGGGAAAAGAGGAATGAATGAGTCAAGGATGACCGTTACTGCTTAAGACCTGAAAGAGTTACAATCTGTGAGAGTAAGGAATGTGATAGGAATAGATTGAGGGAAGAATGAATCAGGAGTTCAATCTTGGTCATTTTTGAGGTTGAAATCAAAGCTTATTAGAAATCCAGTCGATTTGCCGCCTGGTGCACAAGCACAAGGACCTGAGTTCGATCCCCAGTACCAAAAAAAAAAAAAAAATCCAATTGGTGAGCCACAGGAGGGAGTTAGAATACAAGTCTGGAGTTCGGGAGAAAATTCCAGGACAGAGATGAAAATTTGGGAGTTGACAGCATAAAAGTGCTATTTAAAGACTTCCTTCCGTTTTTGGTTTTAAATTTTAGATTTACTGTTTGTACATGATATTTTCTACTCTAAGTTAAGGCATGAGTTTTGTTTTCCTTTTTTGCTAGACAAAAAAACTATGATGACTAGAACTAGAAGAATTGCAAAGATTATAATCTTCAAATAAAGTATAATTAATAATCGTTGGCCAGGTGTGGTGGTACACATCTGTAATCCCAGCACTTGAGAGGCTGAGACAGGAGAATCACTGCAAATTTGAGGCCAGCCTGGGATACCTAGTGAGTTTAAAGCTACCCTGAATTACATAGCGAGACCCTGTCTCAAAAAACCAAAATAATAATAATAATAATAATAATAATAATAAATCATTATAACTCCTTACACTGTAGAGCTCTTTATAATCAATTTGGCTAATGTAGAAGCAGTTTTTATAACATATAAAAAAGGAAATAAATGCGGATCTAACCCATCTCTGTTTTTTGCTCTTACTATTTAGTTGGTTGGCTTTCATTTACAGAACTAGGAATTGAACGAAGACCGTGTACATGTTAGCAAGCACTGTGCCACTGAGCTGCACCCCAGTCCCTTTTCCCATTTTATTTTGGGACAGGGTCTCACTAAGTTGCCCAGACTGGCCTGGAGCTCCTGCCTCAGCCTCCCAGTAGCCACATCCGGATCCCATCTCTGTTTTCCCTACACTTTTCTGTCACAGTCGACTGATGAGTTCATCATTTCAGTCTTCATAGTATCAAAACTGTTAGATAGGCTTTACTATTTTTATATTTTGTTAGATAGGCTTTACTATTTTTTTTTATTATTGGAACATGTCTTAATTATTTTCTTTTTAGACATTCAATTAAATATTTATTCATTTTTAATTGGCATAAAAATTGTATGTATTTATAGGCTACCATAGAGGCTTTACTTTTTATAGCAGTCTTATTGAAAAATAATTACATTACTGAGTGGAAATGTTGAGTCATATGGTAATACAGTAGTCACATCTTTTTTTCTTTTTTTTTTTTTGGTACTGGGGATCAAACTCAGGACCTTACGCTTGTGAGGCAGGTGACAGAACCACCGAGCTAAATCCCCGGCCCCCAGTAGTCACATCTTACTTGCTGCTTTGCTTTCTGCTGTTTCACTTTCTGATGTTTCAGTTACTTATGGTCAATTGAAGTCTAAAAATATTAAATGAAAAATTCCAGAAGTAAACAATTCATAATTTTTTAAATTACACCATTCTTAGTAATGTGATGAAATCTTTTATTACAGTATATTGTTACAGTTGTTCTATTTTTACTGCTGTTTTTCATCTCTTACACTGCCTAGTTTATGAATTAAATTTCATCATAGGTATGTATACATAGAAGATATACAGCTCACATCCACAGCTCCAGTCGTTCACGAGGGGTCTTGGAATGAATCCCCCTGAGATCAGAGGGCTATTACAACATGTTTAACTTCTTAAGAAGCGGTCAGGCTATTTTCTTGAGTTTTTTTGTTTGTTTTGTTTTGGTTATTGTTGGTTTTGAGACACGGTCTCACTATGTTGCCCAGGTTGGCCTTGAATTCCTATGCTCAGGTGATCTTCCTGCCTCTGCCTCCCAAGTAGCTGAAACTACAGGCATGTGCCACCACACCTGACCATAATCTCATTTTTAAAGTCATATAACATTTAATATTTTAATAGCACATAACACTGTTGATAATATATTTCATTTGGGGGAGAAGTCTGTAGACAAACTCTACACATTCAGTGGTTACATAGTCACAAACAAATTAGTTAATTAAGCATTTCAAATCTTTATGTATCTATAAATATCTGCAAAGAATTCTTTTCTTATGTCCTTGGTCTTGCTCAATATGTCGCATCATGTTTGTGCTCTTTAGTCAATCCACTTAGAATTCCTATAAAGTATCTATGTAGAAAAAAATAAAGGTAGATTTTATTTACATATCATAGTGTAAAGATTTTTAGTAAGAAAAATGATCCATTCCATTAGCCTAACAAAACCAAAAAAGTTACTTCTTCTATTTTGTTGTGTATCTTTAAAAGTTTGTTTTCCTCTTTAGATACAGACCAACAACGGAGAGAAAAGCTCAAAAAGGAATTAGCACGATGTGAAAGAGAGTTTAAATTAAGTAAATCTTCAATTCAGGCCAATTCTAAAAATAATTTCAAGTCATTTTTTAACACTCTCCAAAAGGTAAGATTGTAGTTTTACTGTTTTGACTTTTTTGGGGTTTTTTTGAGACAGGGTCTCACTCTGTAATTCAGTCTGGTCTTGAACTCACTATGTAGCCCAGGCTGCCCTCTTACTTGTGGTAATCCTCCTGCCTCAGCCTCCAGAGTCCTGGGATTACAGGAGTGCACCACCATGCCCAGCAGTTTTATTGTTCTATAAACAAGTGTTTCTGAGGTACTTCATTTTTGGTGCATCCTTACTTTTTGGTAAGGTTTTTGCTGTAGGTTAGGGTATATGAATGTTTACTACTATCAAAAACCAGATGGTTAAAATTTTAGGCTTGTCAGGCCATACAGTCCCTGTCACAACTACTCTGTCACTGGAGAGCAAACACTGACAATGCGTACATGATTTGGCTTAGCTGTTTTCCACTAAAACTATATTAATTAAAAAAGACAAAGGGACAGGTGTGGCCTAGATGTTGTAGTTTGCTGACCTTGGCTTTCGCTTTTTTGTGATATCCTTTAATATCTGATTAAAGAAATTTTCTTCTGCTTCTAGTTTGCTAAGAGGTAGTTTCTTTTCTCCTTTTTCATGACTGATTTCACCAGTGCCTTTTTTTGCATCTCTTAGAATGGAATTATAACTTTTTTCTTTCAATCTGTTAATCTAATAAATTACAACACTTTCTAATGTTAAACCTACTTTGCATTCCTACTAAAAAGAACTTAGTGTGATCCCTGTAATGAACTCACATGTTTGAGTCACCTAGGTCAGCCAGCTCATGACCTGTTTTATTTCATCTAAATTCTCACTCACTACCTCCTTCTCAGGTAGGCACTGTAGAATTTTACCCAGAAACATTTCATTACATACAAGGTGCTATCAAACTATACAATGAATGATTAAATTTTTTTAATTTATTATAATAAAAGACAGGTTGCCATTAATCCTGGTCAAGATACTTGCCCTCACTTCAAACATCCCATGCTTCTTGCCACTTTCTGAAGTAGCTCTGGAAGTCCTTTTTGTGAATGTCTGTTGAGGATGATCAAAAGCAATGCTGCTCTAGGCGCCCAGGCTGGGAGGCCCCTGGCCATCTGGAGACCCACTCTCTCTGGCTCGCTACACCCACCTGCGAACAGTGAGACGGTGAAGAACCCTCAGCACACCCACCAGCAAGCAGCTTAGCCACGGTGCCTGCAAAATCCCCCCACCCCTGCCTCTGACCTGGCTGTGCCGCTACCTGGGTCCACACTACAGAGGCACAGGGGGGCACAATGGCCATTGTCCTGAGCTGCAGAAGTGAACAACAGATAGAGGCCTTCTCTCAGGCTACTTGATGAAAACTGAAGCCCATTAGAAAAGTGAAGAGAATCCCTACAATAAAGGCACACCAGACCACCATACTTGGTAAGTTGGAGGGATCATCACCTCCCATTGGAACCTGGACTATCTTCAGGGGAAGGGCAGCTGGAACCTGCAGCAGAGCCTTGCAGAGTTCAACCCTGCAGGAGGACAGGGAGTTCAACTTGGGACTGGCAGCCAGAAATCTGCCTGAATTTCATGGGTCTGCATCTGGCTTGCTGAGACTCACTGATTTCTATCTGCACACTGCTGCCCACGTTATCTATTGTGACAGCAGAGACATACCCTGAAGGAGGCCCTTCATTTTTATTTGTTATTTTCAAAATTATTTTTTTGGCTCTTATTTTTAATTATTTTTTCTTTTTCTACCCTTTTCAAATTTTTATTTTTCTCTTCCTTTTTTTTTCTTGCTTTTCTCTTTTCTTTCTCTCTCTCACTCCCTTGCTGTCCCACATTGTTCTTCATCTCCCTTTGTGTTCCTGTTCTGGCCATAATTCGAATTTCTTCTTGATTTTTCTTTTCTTCTGTTTTTCCTTCTCTTGCCTGTGTCCTCTGGCCTCACTGCAAACCTTCCCCTATCCTTCTCCCTACCTATCCCACCCTCCCCAACTCCTTCTTACTCCCTACCTCGAAGGGAAAAGTTGCTATGTTGAAGAGTTTATTCACTATAAACATATATTGGATTGTTCCTCGATTTTGATTTAATTCACACAGTTAAAGGTGATAGATTAATAACTGCCACAAATTATCATTTTCTAAGATGTACTTGATGCTATGGTGTTGCTGATTGTATCACTTGGCTAAGGGGTTGTGATTGATCTAATCAGTTGTCCTTCCTGGTATAATGAAAATGAGACAGCCTCAGAGCCATTAGAGACTCAAAACCTAAACACCAGCTATATCTGGAAGACACCTCTGAGAAGCAATCATTCCATAAGGGTTCTAAATACAAGCAACAAAGATACTTACAATAAGCAACTTCAAAGTATCAACCCAGGAATTAAACCAAGAACAGTACAAAAACAAAAATGAGAAAACATTTAAGCAAGGCACAAACTCAGACTTCCACCCCACAAAAGGAAAATTCTGGGGGAAGCGAGGTAGAAAAGTCTGATAATCAACCACCTGGACACCCTGAACTGATAGCACAGGATGTAACAAAACAGATGAATGAAGCGCTAGAAAAATTCAAAGCAGAAATAATCTCCCAGATAACTACAGAGATGGTGAGCAGAGTGAAAGACATGATTAGAGGCTCTAGAAGAGAAACAGAGAAAAAAATAGATGAGCTCAGAAACATGCTGGAAGGCTCCAAGCATGACCAGCCAGGAGAGACAAGCAGCATGAAGCTCCTTGGCCATCCCAGGCCCTGCCCACGCCACGGTAAGGTCCCAGGGGCGACTTGGAGCCCCACCCCCATCTGACGCTCTCCAAACGCGGCCAGCTAGGAGAAACAAGCAGCTTGAAGCTCTGCTGCTGTCCCAGGCCCTGCCCACAACACGGTGAGGTCTTCTTAGCCGCATGGGTGCCTGCAAGGCCCAATTTCCCCCCACCCTGCGCCTCTGGCCTTCTGGCTTTTCTGTTACCTGGTCCCACACTACAGAGGCACAGGAGATTATAAAGACCCTTGTCCTGAGTGCCACAAGATAGAACAGAAGTTAGTAACAGAAAGAGGGCTTCTCAGGCTCCTAAATAAAAGCTGAAGCTCAGGGGAAAAGTAAAGAGAATCTCTACACTAAAGGCACATCAGACCACTGTACTTGGTCTGCTGCTGCCTTGCTGAGACTCATTGACTCATATATGCAC